TTCCAGTACAAAGTTCATCCCGTGGGTGGTAGAGGTGGAGCAGCAGAATTCTAAAATAAGGAAAATGGATATTTTTAAAGTTGAGATTGTTATTTAAGATCTAAACTTTGAAGACCTGAACACAAACTACATTTACATAGTTTCACTGTCTGATAAACAGCCTAAAAACACTAAAACAAACATAAAAACAGCAGAAACTGGTCCAACGTAGGACCAGAATAAGACCAGCTACGCTCCTACAGTTGGCTGAGATACCAGATCTGGACCATAATTCATTGCTGTATTTGGGGCAGACCAATTCTGCCATGTGTCACCAGTAAGACTCAAGTCTTTTGTCTCCCAAATTGTCTCTATTGGCCAACTGTAAAATGCAAAATGTAATTCTATTTAACACTCAACCGAATTAAATAAAATCAGTGTTGGTGTTTCCCCAACTGGTGCTCGGTAGCGTAACGTTAGTTCCTCATAGTTTACTCCCGCAACTAATAGTATTAATGCTGAATGAACTGATCCATGGCATGCTCTTTGGGTCTGGGTCTGGGGAAGATCTCAAGTATTTGTGTTAAAGTCCCGATTGAGTTGAGTTTTTTTTATTTTGTTGAGTTTAAATGTGAGAGTGGATTCGAATGAAATGTGACGATCAGAGTATAAAATACGACGCAGCAGCAGCGTGTTTGCAGAGAGAAGCTTCAGCCTGAACGTCCTCTGCTGACTAACACTAGAAGCGCTACGAATCCCTGGACTCTGCCGGAGCTCGCTGGGGCGGCTTGCAGTAATTCTCTGTTCAACTCGAGTGCAGCCAGTTCTTCCATTACAGGCCTGCGTGCTGTTTGCTCTATAATTACTACAGCAGCTAGGAGTGGTCACTGCTAATGTTCACTGTGTTAAAGTGGCTTTAAAAAAAACCCACACACATCGAGCTCAGTGCTGCTCTGAAATGACCGGCGCATTAATAATGCAGCAACAGGAACGACTGTGGACTGAAAAACCTCCAGCGAAGAGTTTACCTCCTGTTTACATTTATTAAAGCTCTTTCTGAGGCTGTTGGGCTGATTAAAGGGGCGGCGGTAAAGCGAGCTGGACGTCGCCTGAATCATTTTCCATTTGTATTGTTGGCAATTCTTCACAAAGTGTAAGTATGTAAGTATATATGAGTTATAATAGTATATGTTATAAAACATTTGAGTTTAACAGCAGCAGTAGTAGCTGACGCACATAGAGCCGCTCCACGCCATTGTCCTATTTCCTCGCCTCAATTAATAAACAGTAACGGGTCAACCTGGCGAGTCGTAGCTCAGGAGATCAGATCTTCAGGTTGAGTTTAAATATTGTCAATCAATCAGTTATAGTTCGAGGATACATCCTGCTCACTACGCCCCCTGCTGTTGTATATTAATAGTGTAATAGCCACGCCGCTTCCTGTCTGGAAAGAAGTTCACTTTTGGTCTCACACCAGCAGCCGTCTCCTGGGTTAAAGTCCTGTGTTTGTTTGAGCCGTCCCTCCACCTCTATTGAAAGACTTTCACACTACATTATACTACAGCATCTGACTTTGACAGCACCATTACGCTACAGAACCGGTGCTATAAAGGAGTAGAGTCATATTTCTGTATGAGCGGCAGTATTTGACAAGTTGGGAAGATAGACTGGATGTTTAACTACACATCTGCATTACCGGCGTTTGTTTCTGAGGACAATCAGCCGTCAAAACGGAGACAGGACACACGAGTCAGCCTTCACGCACAGTTTAAAACAAGTGCTTTACAGTGTGGTGGTGGGAGGAAGGTATCACTCCACAGTGGGAAAGAACCAATAACCTTTAATAAACTGCAGGTGAGTGAGCAGAAGAAAGCAGAAAGCTGCAGTTTATTCTGGAAAACGCTTCAAAGAAGTTTAAAACAAAAGTATGTGTAAATGCCCTGCAGTACCGTGCGCCTGCTTGTTTACATTTCTTTGGTGTTATAAAGAAATGTCCCAAGTTTTAATAACTTTAATAACTTTAACAGTTCCAAGCGTCGGAGTGAGGACTCGCTCTTTCATAATGAAGCCAGCAGCAGTTAATCCTCAGAGAGAAGCTTTTTACTGGTGAGGAGGGCACAAATTCCAATTCTCAGCCTGCGGTGGAATAAAACAGCGAACAAATCAGGGCCAAGCTGACATTAGCCTCACGCTAGCAGGACGCCCACTTCTCATAAAGGCCAATTACTGTACCTCCACGCAGGCTGCAGAGGGCTTCCAGTCGCTTATTTCATGCGAGGTTAAAAGAGGTGAGAGGAAGCGACTGGGTTTTTACCTTTACAAAGGGACACAGCAGACATGTCTGCCAGACCTGACATGTTTTTTTTCCTTTCGTTCCCCCTTTTTCCTCCTCGCCCAGCCGCTGTGTAATGAGCCTATCTGGCCTTAAGAGAGAGTATTAGCAGTCCGCCTGCTCGCTCTGCTATCTGTGACACTTCACTGCTGAGGAGGAGGAGGAGGAGGAGGAGGAGAGACATTTTCTCTTTGAAGGAGATATCAGAATCATTTCATATTTCCTGCTCATCATCTTTCTGAGCGGAGCTGCAGGGGCTGCCGAGCTCGGCTCCATCACGGCTCAACACCTCAGACTCATGTGCGGGTCAGGAGGGGATTTTAATGTGTATTTGTATCCGTCTGAGTGGATGACGACGCAGTGACAGACGGGAATAAAAGCACAGAATACGTATAATATATATCTTTAACAGATGTATTTGGTATATGATTAATAGATCTGGATACAGGATTAAAACTGATTTTAAAGGTAACTGTCTTCACTAAATGTTAAAAGCTTTAAGTCAAATGTTTTGAAATAAACTAAAAGTTTTGCTGACTAAATAATAATCTTTTGTTGAGCTGATCTACTTTCCTCTCGAGATAAACTTTAATATTTATAATAGTTTTAGAAACAAAACAAAACAAAACATCTGCATTATAAAACTTCTCCACAGAGCTGTGAACCCGAATTTTCATTATTTGGTTCTTGAAAATTAAATAATCACTTTGTTTTTCATTAGATTTATTTTTCTGAACATCTTTTTGTTTCTAGAAACTTAAACATTTAAAGAAGAAAAATTAATAATAAAAAAGTATTTTATTCCAGAACTTAAGATTTTGAGTTTGACTTAAAGCTGAAAAAATATAATGGAAACAGTTGCATTTAAATTATGTTCTCAGCTTTTTTACAGTGCACCGATCCGTGAAATGATTGAAAACATTGTAATGTGCATGCCGGGCCAGTAGGTGGCGGTGTAACTTTTCATTTCTTGTCCAAACACGTCTTTTGTTTGCCCTCCGTTGGTTTGCTGGCTGTGATTAATGTGTCTCTGATGGTCACAGTAACGGTGCAGCAGCTCTACAGGAACTTGATATGCCGCCATTGTTGTTGTTCTCCTGTTCACACACGCGGTTACTTGGATGAATAATAATCATAATAATAATAATCATGCACAAAGTGGCGTTTTCAAAAGATCGCATTCTGGAACCCAGTTTGAAAAATTTGCGTTTTTAGGCCCCAAAATGTCGTGTAAAGGAAACTCCAAACCGCAACAAAACGTAACCTTTTTATATAAAAAACATTGTCATGTAAACGGCCACAACAAATCAACAAAATAAATACGGCACTGAGGATGAGGAAGTCCATTATTATCTGTTAATAATCTGTATTTATAGCTGGGAACAAGAACTTAAACTTACTTATATGTTACCAGTGTGTATTTATATGTTACTAATATGTATTTATATCTGGATATAAATACATATATATCTGTATATGTATTTATATCCAGTGTTGACTGTCAGCTGCAGCTGTGTGTGTGTGTGTGTGTGTGTGTGTGTGTGTGTGTGGAGCCTGTGGGCGCCGTCCTCATCGCACTGTGTGTCTCGGTCGGACGGCCGCGCAGCAGCCGGACTATTTTTTGTCTTTTTGAAAGGCCTGATTAAAAAAAGGGGGGGTGGGCGAGCTCCTTTAATCTATAATGGAACAGACGTTATCATTATTGTTAAATAATGCACAGCGGCCACCAGCATCAAGTATTAATAACTTATTGAACAGAGCAGTTTCCGGTGACCTGCCTCTGGGCCCAAAGCATGACTTTGAACAGGACCAATGTGAGTGTGTGTGTGTGTGTGTGTGTGTGTGTGTGTGTGTGTGTGTGTGTGTGCTTTATTGACAAAAGGCCACTGTAATATCGGGGCTGAGGAAGCCCAGGAGGGGCAGCAGAGGAGGATTTAAAGCACAGAAGTTGTTTTTTGTTCTCTGCTGCAGTGAATTATTCTTTTAATTCTGGTTTTTATTCATATTTATGATCATTATTTAACAGACAACATAAAGATCTCAGATTATTCATCAGAGCTTGGATGAGTATTCTACTGACACTGTAAGTTTATCATTAGCATAATTAAACATAATCAATATGGTGATTACACAACAGAACGATGTGAGGGAGACATTCATGGAAGAAACTAGAATCAATATCACAAACATCAGAACATTTTGAGTGATAAATATGGAATATTTCAACCTGGTATCTTCCCACGTTCACCGTGGCAGTGTCACGATTTTAACACTTTATTAATCTGCAGTCATGATAGTGATTATAAATATCAACGCCTGGTTACACTTTCAAAATAAACTTGTTTAACTGGTTGTTTGGCTTTATATGTACCTGAGAAACAGGTTGTAATCAAGGTCTGCTTCCATCACAGTGGATCAACCAGATACAGCGACCTTATTGAATCTGTCTCTGTCTGTCCAATGTGACGTTACTGTAAACACACATTACTGTGTGGTTTGTTTACTAATCCACCTTTTACTACGAGACCACAGAAGAAGAAAACAGGAGGCTTTATTTCCACTTCCTGTTACTTTCTGCTGTTTCCAAGGTTCATTATTAGAAGGTAGGTCAGCTCAGTTTATGGGAATTATTAAGGTTCAAATCGCCTCTGCTCCACACTGTCACACCAAACTCCATTCAAAAAACGGCTGTTTTAAGGAAGTAAAACCTTTATTTCCACCATCAGTGAGACTCTGATTCTCTTCAATCTACAGACACAATCTGCTCACATTGACTCAGTAACATCATTAACTAACCTGTGAGGAAGAGTTGGACACAGACACACTCACTGACTGTCTGTCATTAACTAACCTGTGAGGAAGAGTTGGACACAGACACACTCACTGACTGTCTGTCATTAACTAACCTGTGAGGAAGAGTTGGACACAGACACACTCACTGACTGTCTGTCATTAACTAACCTGTGAGGAAGAGTTGGACACAGACACACTCACTGACTGTCTGTCATTACTAACCTGTGAGGAAGAGTTGGACACAGACACACTCACTGACTTTCATTGACTAACCTGTGAGGAAGAGTTGGACACAGACACACTCACTGACTGTCTGTCATTAACTAACCTGTGAGGAAGAGTTGGACACAGACACACTCACTGACTGTCAGTCTTAACTAACCTGTGAGGAAGAGTTGGACACAGACACACTCACTGACTGTCTGTCATTAACTAACCTGTGAGGAAGAGCTGGACACAGACCATCACTGTTGGGGAAGTAAAGATCTTCTAAACTGGGAGGTTTTTGGTATTTTTCCATTTGGTAGCAGCACTTTTACTTCTGGTTGTTTCTGCCATGAATATTATCATTATATCAACCATAGTGGCATCCAAGAGGGCTTTTTGTCATGGAGGCACCAGGTGGGGCAATCGAAATGTGTGCACGTGTCAACTGCACCCGCAGCACAAGACTGTGGTCGACTGAACTGGCAGCCGTGACCTCTGACCCCTCCTCACATTCAGAGTTGTGTCTCTGCAGAGCCTCTTCACATCACAACAGATGTTTGTTTGTCCGTTTGTTTGTTTGTTTGTTTGTTTGCAGCTCAGCAGAGCCCCTGCCCGTCTCAGACTTTTCTGAGCAGAAACACAAATGTCCGCCTCCTGCCAGATTGGATCCATTTCAGCTGCCGGCGCGCAGGAAAAAGAACTAAAATGAAAAATGAAACAGGAGTTAACAAACATGTTGGCTGCCTTTCACTCTGTGAGCACCAAACATCCCGTATAAAAACCTATTTGCTGGACAGCTTGTAAATTGAAAGCTTTAGAGATGGTTGTCTAGCAACTGGGGCCCGGTTGCCAAGCCCGGCATTACTGCCAATTATGGTGGGCAGGAGAAATTGGTGTCGTCGTTTTTTTTCCCTCCCCTATTTTCTGACTGCTGAATGTCCCTTTTTTTTTTGCCCAGAGGCAAATCATCCCTCACTGGAAGATCTAACACGCTGTCGATATCTCTGCCTTTCACCAAACATGAATGAAAAGTGATCAAAACGCAGCAGCAAAGTTAATGAAACAACGTCTTAAAATCGCTGTTTTTTTTAATAGAGTTCTGTGAGGCTCGTGTTTGTTTCCCGATCCGTCGTCGGGTCTGTAATAACATAAATCAAACGGCTGTTTTTTGGGGCCTTTGATTTATGTTATTACAGACGCGACTCTGTCACATCATCATCCAGTTTCTCACATTATCATCTCTCATGCTAGGACTCATTTTCACAAAACACGATCCAGAAGTTTTGTAGCACCCAAAGAAAAAATAAAATAAAGAAAGAAAGAAAAAACTGCAAACAATCCCAGAGTTAATGCAGTTTTTCTCAATTAGATTTCAGCAGACGTGTTTTGCAGCCCCACCTAGCTGCTGGGGGGACACTGATGAAAACTAATGCTGTAATTCTGCTCAGATATTGCCACCTGACTATTAGATTTTGCCCTTTCTCTTGTATGGGGGCCAATGTGCTTGTTGGTTAACCGAATTAGCTTTTGTGTGTTATTGCTTTACGTTCTCACCCAGAGGACAGTTTCAATAATCAGCCGAGGTGGAGGAGGAGGTGGAGGAGGAGGCCCAACCAGCCCACAGGGGCATGAATCAGCTCTGTAGCGCAGAATGAGCTGCAGTGAAACAACAGAAATCTTACACACATTTTCACTTCAGCTGTTTTTCTACGAGTTTCAACAAAAAAGCAAATATAAAATAAGTAATACGTCTGATTAGTTATATCTTAGTTTTTTTAAAGTTTTAAAGTAGTTTACAGAACTGTCTCCAACCCACATCTGTAATCTGTAAACGCTGAATCAGATCCAGACTATTAACTGCAGATTAAACTGAATTAAATATTCAATTAAAGCTGCAAGCAGTGATAATCAGGGGGGGTGCTGCGGTCATGTCATGCGTCAGCGTACACCACGCCATTCAAATTCACATAAATGAGGTGATGATTGCCATACAACGCTTACTTCCTGTTTCCAGTAGGGGGCGCTATGAGTATGAGTGAATATTGGTATGAAGATGTGTTCAGGGCAGGACTGTTATCAAATGTTTGATGTTGGAAAAGGTACACTGAAGTTATAACTACTTCCTGTTTCATGGCGATTCGTTAAAATTCTACACAGCACCACGGAGCGGTGTTAAAATACATCGTTAGCAAATCACAAAAAATGACCACAAAATTCAAAATGGACGACTTCCGGTTGGGTTTCGGTTATGGGTCTCAGAGGCTTTTTTGTTTGTCTGGTCATATTACATATTCGTACTGACTTTCACACATATGGCCATTTAGCAACGTCCATGTATGAAACCTATTGAATAAGTTTTTGGGCATGTTGCATCCTCCAGAGATTTGATTCATTGGAGAATAAAATAATAACAACCCGAGCAGTTTCCTTAACGTACATTAAAGCCTGTTTTAGGCCAATTTGTGTCCAAACCCTCTCCAGATTACGGACGATTCTCGCTTTCTCTTTGAGAACTTTAGCAAAAGACAACAGAAAATCCCTGGACTGAGAGGGTTTTGGTGTTGGAACTGCTGCTCTCTGTGGGCTTCTCTGTTGATTTGTGTCTTTTGAGTCTTGATTTAGCATCTTGGTTGTTTGTGTGTCTTTATGTTAATAAATCCCTATGGATCTTATGGTTTTAAATATGTCTTTATCTGGTTGTTTTGGGTCAGGGGATTGGGCAAACGAATGGGGGCTCGTCCAGGTTAAATTAGCAAAGGGGAATTAACAAAGTACTAACACTTAGTTACTGTAATTAGTTTTTGTACTTATTTTTGACCTTTTACTTTTACTTCCTACATTTTTAAACAAATATCTTTCTACTCCTTACACTTTCAAAACAGGCTTGTTGTTACTTGAATTATTGATTATTATTTGGTTTTTCATCATTGCACACATCCCCAAAACTGGTGCATATCACTCATGAGGGATGTACAATGGCGAAAAATAATGTAAAAGACCTAACAAGACATTTAAAGTTTCAGTTAGCGGAGAAATAGCTGGTAGAAATGTCCTTTAGAGAAACATTTTAGAGCCTGTATTTCCACCTTATATCTGTAGTTCTGCTGGAGTAAAGAGTGTGAACCTTTTCCACCTTCGTAAATCAGTGGCAGGCAACCTGCAGCTCTTTAGCTCCTCTGGAGTGGCTCCCTGTGGCTTAGACAAACAACAACATCATTGTTGTAGGCCTAAAGTCATTCTTACATTCTCTAATTGTAAAAATGTGTTTCCATTTCACACCAAATAAAACAAATGTTTTAGGGAACCCTGGAAGCTCATTTGGTAGAGCTGGTGCCCAAATGTACCAAGACTGAGTCCTTTCTTAAGTTGCCAGTCCCATAAAAAGGATGTACTGTGCAAACTGCTGACGTAAAGATTTTGAAAACTATAAATCGGTGAGTGAACAATAATTTTATAAGATTTGTCAGTTTATGCTTTCTGAGATTTCACACCAACTGTTGCACTACAGACGATTTCTTTTCTCTTTTTCCAGCTTTAGGCTTCCTATTTCTTATTTTTCCCAAAAAACTTTGCATTTTCGAGCACCATCACCCACCAACAGTTGCATGCTGCCATGTTTAAGGTAAACTCAATTTAGTCTTTGCAGTGTCACAGCCCCACAAACTCAGTCAGTTCAGTCCATAAACTGACACATCGGCCGTTTTAAAAGCTGAAGAAGAACTTTGGGGTAAAATCAGCCGTGTTCAGGTGTGCATGTCATAGTGAAACACACACACTAAAATCTGATGTAGTTTTGTGCTCTGAGGCTCTGCAGCTGGTGCCAACTGAGAAAGGAGACACGAGGCTTTTTGGCTTTCACTTTAAGAGAAACCCCCCAGTTCAGAGCTGTCCCGCTCCGCCGCGAGCGAGCCGACACTTCGACAGGTTCCTCGCCGAGCTGGAGGAGGATAAACAGCGAGCAGAAAACCTCCCAGACAGCCTCTCACCTTAAAAACACACCTGAGGTGGCAGCCGGGGCTTCTCAGAGTCAAACGGCTTTTAATCTCGCTCTGAGGCGCGTCACGCTCGCTGTAGTTGGCCGCCACTACAGCGAGACGTTTTAATCATGCCAGGGATGTATGAAGTGGCGGGGGCCCGGGGCCGGGGGAACGGGGGGCCAGATTGTGTTCAGATTCCCATCAAAAGGTTGAGATGACAGAACGGAGGGATAATGCCGGAATAATGAGAATTCTCATTACCAACTCTGTGTTTTGTCATCGCTGTCACAGACGGCGAGCCGGGTCACGACTCACGGCGACCAGAAGACGAGCTCTCGCCTGCGTCATTATGTGTGGGCTGCGGACACGGAGCCGCCGGCCTCTTGGCCTCCAATCGCTCAGGCTTTTCGGCAGAGGACGCAGAGCTGGAGCAATTACCCACAGTTCAAAGCGCCAAACAGGAAGGACAGCTGTCGGTCGCATTCACACTTTGAAGCTCTGCACGTCCAATCAGAGCAGCGGACTCGGCGAGACTGTCGGAGGTTTGATGCCGTGTGGCTGCAGCTCGTTACCGTGCAGAGAGGAGAAGTCATTTCCATCCTGTTTTCCTTCAGCCTCCATCAGTGAACAGCCGCTCTGAGCCACCAGGGGGCGCTCACATGTAAAAACCTGAAATCAACACAAAGTACAGCAGCGTCTCTGTGAGCCCGACAGGACGATCGTAGCTTAAAGGTCACAGAACATGAGGCCACGTACTCTGTACTTCAGTTCTGTCAGACTTTTATTGACTCTAAAATCCAACTTTAAGTGATCAAATAAAAACTTAATAAATGTCAAGATAAGATAAACTTTACTGATCCCTCACTGGCGGAATTTCTCTTGTTACAGCAGCTCCAGATACAACACAATATAATAGATTAGAAAATACACATTAAATGAAAATACAATAGAAAAATATAAGATAATAAAATAAGAATATAAAATTAGGAATAAGAGTTATATGTGCAACATGTTCAGATTTGTATATTAAGATGTGATTAATGGAACATTGAACAGGTTTCAGCAGGAGGATATATGTACAATATATACAGCAGTGTAATTTAAAGGAAATAGAGGCTATAATTATAATAGAGCTATGAATATACAGTACAGGTAATGCAGCTATATTATAATCTTAAACA